GTGAAAGGTAATGGATGAAAAGTGAGTGATGATCTCAAGAATTCACCTTGTTTTTGTACAGCTTGATGATGTATGAAAATACTTTGACTTTCCTGAATTGTTAAAGTGACTTGAATCAAGCTTTGTCTACGAAGGAATTGGCGGACCCTCACTGACCCGATTATAGAGTACCTTCAAGTCAAGATCACCGTCTATGAAGAAGAAGCTGCGAGCCGGGGTTTGATAGCATTTTGGGACTAGTGAAATGAAGCATTAACCAAACAATGAGTTATTTCGTCAGCACATTGAATCCCACTTCTGAAATAAATTAGTGAGTAAATCGAAATCATTAGTGATAAAGGGTTCTCAAGACAGTGGATGTTCAGGAAAGCGAGTGATCTGTGGCAATGTGCATCGACTTGGTGAGTGTGTTAGTATCCGCGGAATGCTTTCATCCGATAGATTACAAGTTGTCAGGCAGAACGAACCACAATTTAACTGTTTGATAGAAAAAATCTGAAAAAGAAAGTGTGAAGAAGTATAGGATGTAGTAGTGGTTTAGTCGGATTGCATCGACTGTTGAGAATTCTGTTAACCTTAATGGCATTTTCAAGCCACATGACGTTCAGAAAGTCTACTCAGTTATTTTATCTGTCATAGTGAGGAAAGGCATATCATTTTTTGACACATGCTCATTACTAGATAACGGATCAAACATGTTACGTTTGTACGTGTTCAGTTGACTGACACGTTAGTTATCAAAGGTACGAAAGAGCCCTCAGTACTGAATCCATTCAACTCTTCTAACACATTAACGTGTGAACGAATCTCGTTTTGGATAGAATAATTGATGACTAGAGAAACCATTAAAGTATGAAGTGTCTATACTACTCGTAGTATTCAGCTTGATAGAACCATAGTACCTAACTGCGAAACTGTTGCCAACAGACGTTATCCCAAACCTCACGTCAACAAAGTAAGAATACATATCGGAAAAGACGTACCAGATGCTAACAAGCCATTATAAGAGAGATATGGAGGTAGAGAAGACCTGAGCACAACGGAAATGCAACTCGGAATGATAGTGAGTGTGCCTGCTATGAGCAACAACATGAATGCAGAAAGACATACGAGATATTTGATGAAGATTTCTAACAAAACAACAACCCAGAAACAGCGAAGACATCAAGACAGTTCATCGGATCGAAGATCCATGTACCTACAAAAATAGGCACCATTTAACCTATCCTGAATGTTTAAAATAGCCAGTTTGGTTTGTAACAGAGAAGCTGCATTTTAAAGATTCATGAGTTAAACAAAGGAGCTTTTGACAGTAGATTCAGATCCCTGTTCTAAAAATCAGGAATTTATCGACAAACATATGAGCGAAAGTTACTTTTAAAGACCCATTAATCAGTATGAGCTAAAAAAGACACCTGTTTCAGCACACTGCTTTTAACTCAAAGAAGCTTGGTCAGCTTCTTGTATTGGTCCAATGTCCTGGGAAGCTATTTCCTTAAATGGCAGTATATACATACATATATATTGGTCCGGACTGTGTAGGACCATTTGTCGGGTTACTCTTAATGTCTATAATGCAGCGACAAATTACGAATCTTTCCCAACCTGTACAATCTGCAAGGCTTGTTTGCTGAACACCATATTCTTCTCCCCTTTCTGTAACTGCGTGATTATTAAAGTCACTGCTTTTACACACCATTCAATCGCCATGGATGAAACTCAGGCTAATCACTAATACCTTTGACGTTGGCTTACAGCAGTCCTGGTACATAGATAACCGTGTGAATTCAAAAGATTATGCTTGCGGTTATGCCTTGAACCTCAAGGAACCAGGTGAATTTATTAGAAAAGATTCTAACTGGCCCAGTTCGGACTGTTACTCTTCAATTCTATGATGACTGTGGATACGTTCACTGATCACAGAAGACCTAGTTTTGGCCATGGGTCATCCAAATGTCAACTGTGACGATTTGTTTGTAAGTGATCAACCTACCATTATAATAACTGGTAATAAAAAATTCCATTTTCATTCCTTTCACAGGGCCAAACAGAATGTGACTAATTTCAAGGGTAGCTGCAAGAGAGGAACGTGCACACTCACTGCTGTGTGAGGTCATGATAGGAAATACAAATACTGGACTCATTATGGCCACTGAAATATCAGTGAATACAATTTAAATCCTTTAGCGAGGGACGACGGCATGCTACTTTTAGTACTAAATGCTCTGTCAGTGGCTGCTCCGACGATGCATATCAAATTTACTGCCTTTTTAAATTCCCTAGTTACACCTGGTTTATGCGGCTTGATGAGATGTCCTGTGCACAGTTTCGTTTCTCCTTGGTGTAGTGTAACCTTTCAACAGGATCTGTGTGAACGGAAGTCAAGAGATATTGACGGACGTTTCTTGGCCACTACTCTGTTGGCAGGTCTATGGATTCCTGTAACCTAATGTTGGAGGCATTTTTAAACTTCACATTGGAAGCACAATGAGCACCTATGTGGAGTGAATGTTAATTAAGTTACATTCTGTTAACTTTGTGATCCCGAGTACTGGTTATAAGCAATATATCACAAAACTAATATGTCTGTGATACAAGTGACATTCTCATATCATGAGCTGTTGAGCAAAGATGAAAACTTCGGTCAACAACGGTTTCATTGATGAAAAGTGGACGTCACATTCATACAGACAATAAGAAATCATGTAGTCCTAGTGTAACGACAGAAGGCAAGGGTCAGGCAACAGATCATTTATTAAGGAAATCAACGCATATTTATATATTTTCATGTACATTAGTATGGATATTTAAGCAAAGAAACACAGTCTTCCGATTGGTTGTTTCTCACGTAAAGTTAATCTTTCATCTATTTGTGACTGTTTCTTGAATGTCAAATCATCTATATGTTAACTGCATCCGCCTACGCAAAGTCTGCTGTGTTCGGTTTTGAATCAATCTTTGTTCACATTTTCTCACGACAAATCTTGGGAACGTAAATATTGACGTAAATTACTGTCTACCAATTTGGCTAGTAGACAGCTCTCACCACACTAGTTTAAATCTGTGGCATAGAATCTCATGAAAGTGAAAATATGACTGCGTTGATGATATTGTTTATGTGTAGGCGATAATTACAGGCCTTCGTTCCTAATGTTGTTCGATTTATAACTATGATGCCCAAACGACTGAATTTCATATGTCTCTTTCTTATTTTCCACTTATCATAAGGTCAGCATATTTTTCAAGACCTCTAAGGAAATTGCTAAATCACTACTCTTGTACACATTCCACGTTAATTCGATGAGTATTTTTTCAGTCACTGTCTCAACATTGTTACCTTACCGAAGTCAGCTGATCTTGAACTGGTTGAGTTTTCTGCTCCACTAATCCAATTAGCTCCGACCTACTAATCAGACCTACGTATTTAGCCTCAAATGCAATGCAGGGTTTCAGACAAACGAAATCATTCGTGAATTAAGCTCCACGGTATCCTATAGTAGACGTAATTTCATGTTCTGTAAGATATAATGCTACCCCTATTCCTGACTGAAAATGATCATCCTTACTGTAAGGAGTGTTAAGTGCTGCTTTTAAATTTCGTCAGTTCTGTGTGACAGATAATGCTTGAAACCTTGAATTTTCAGTTACGGTTGCATTGTTTCTACGTCCAAACGCTCTTCTTCACCCTGTATATTGCCAACATGGCGAGGCTATGAAGAACGTCACACGGGTATCGCCTTTATGCATCACGTGTAGTTGACGCTCCTGCCACCACTGAACGTTCTGATGCTATGTGTAAAGAGTACTGACCAATAATGAGTTTTGTGATCATTGTATTAAAAACGCTATTATAGCCCCCTTTTAGTACACTTAGTTTCCTTCAGTTGAAATGTAGTCCTGACATAAATCTAATCATATAAATGAGCCTTGTTCAATGTTCAGAATGAATTCATCTCACATACTCCTTTGCCATTGCTGATTGTGTTTGGCTTAGTTGTGTAAGTTATAGGTTTACCATAATTCTGTAGAATCAGTCAGAGGGTAGTGATTTCAGCACAATTTCGAAGATTCCATTCTAAATTAGAAGGAAATAAGAAAATTACATTCTGAAACAGGTTCATTGCAAGCTGCAAAGTTTAATCCATTAAAAATTAGTACGAAACATCTGTCAAGTACTCTCAGGTTTTCCAAAGATTCTCCAACTTATATCAACTCCAGATTAATATGATTATGTAGACTTTTGTTAAATGTTAAAATGAAAACATTGTACATTACTTTTGTTCAAAACTATTTGCTGCAAATATGTACATAACTTTCGAGTACAATTAGAATTAAGCATGCTGCACGTCACTTCGTCTTCTCACTGGTTTGCACTGTCTACTTGCTTCACTACTTACCATGTTGTATCCTCTGGAGTTGGCAGGAACCTGTCATCGTTATCCGAAGACTATTCTGAAGCTGGTAAACAAATTCTAGTAGTGGATACAACCTAAGAAGTAAACGCGTCTGTGTATTATATTATTAATGTAAAGCAGAGGACTCTAATTGTATTATCGAGTAACTATTATTACTTATAACTCATCATCTGTGTTTCTATAATATACTGCCTCTAAATTTCTACTTTTGCCGGGATTTTTATCCTCATAATTTGTATCATCCCCTAAAAATCGACAAAATTTTAAATGCATGGACCATTGGGTTGGGTTTCAGTGGCTGAGTGGCACACGACCTCGTCTCCTAACTGAAAGGTCCTGGTTTACCACTTTTTATCAAATAATGCGACATGGTTCGAAGTGAAACATTTTCCGTCGTGTTGAAAGGTCTCAAATGAATGTTGGAACGACTATTGGATTATTTTAACCAATAAGATTAATTAAATTTCAACTGAAGACTTTGATACCAATTATTGAACGCTTCAGAACGAATCTAAAAAAACTAAGTATCAAAGTATGAGTAATTAGTTGAGCATCTTTTTTTGCTAAGTACTGTAACGTCTGGTGTGAGATGGCTTTTCTCTCTCAGGTAACCAGTTCAAAATAAAGTTTCATGACTCCACAGTTTATGAGGTTTATTACTGGATATCAGTAGTGGACAGTCATCCAAATATAAGAGAATTATTTCACGTTCTTTCTGTTCGTGTCTTTTATTGATATCCTGGAACATACCTGAACATGCACTGGGAGTCGAAATGTTTCACGCTCTGCAACGCTACTTGCATTGTCCACATCAACAGAGTTGAATAACCTTCCATCGCTAATTAAGATTCTGAATATGTAACATACTAGAGTAGCGTTTACTGAAGGGATCATCGTAATAAATTAAAATCTCTGCTGCACACATTGAGGGTTGATATGTTTTCATGTATATGCCGGTGGTTATTTCAGGCCGATTACTCGTATATCATATATTTGCGTAGTATTTCTTGTTTAATATGGACAGTGACATCTGTGTTTCGTAAAATATGAAATTCGCAAATAAGTTTCATATCTCACATACATAGGCGATCTCTATGCATCGAAATTTCACGTTTAAAGTCAACACAACGACCTGTTGTTTTCGTTACAAATTAATGTTTCGCAGGTGTGTAACCATCTCACTTACAACGTCATGACAAATTTCTCAGTTTGATTTTCGAAAAAATCATCAGTGAATACTACCAGGAATAAGATAAATACAATGAATGTTTTATTTTTCAGGTTGCTGAAAATCCTGGTATGTATTGGCGCGGTTATGCAGTCGTCGGTTGCCTGTATGTCTATCTTTCCGCAAACTGTCGTAACAGCACTATTTGTACTTTTATGTTCAGTAATAATTATAATCCACAGAGAACCAGTCAGTTCAGGTGTCGAAGGCTAGAGCTATGGACTCAGTCAAAATACTGACCCAAATGATACACTGAATTCTCGTCAGTATTCTTTTTAGTTATATATGACATCGTTCAGGTTCACAGTTCATCAAACCTCATTAGGCACATATAAATGCATCGATTGATGCGTTGACTTAAATTATGAAAATGAATTATACCTGATATGAATGAATTCGAGGTGGTTATGTTCTTTACGCCTAGTGCTCATATCGCAGTTCATCTCAACGGCATCTTCAACCTCAAATTCCTAGGTGAAATAAGAGTTTGCGATTCTGCATGCCGGTGTTCTGAGTACAAAAATATTGTATTCTCATTGTGCCATCAAAGACATAAAAAGAAAAACGAAGGTAGGAAGAAAATCATGGAAAATGATGTTCAGGAGAAAAATAATGAATAAGCTGGATTGGAAATTATTCTACCGATTTTTAGCAACATGGAACAAATCGGACTCACATGAGACAGGAATATTAGAAAACAAGACATTGTCTTTTAATTATATTCACCTCATCTCAAACAACGTATTGGACAGTTATGCTGATGACAACACTCCTGAAATTTCGTGAGTTAGTGTATGCTACGAGTAGTTCCACAGGAGCTCTACAAATGTCAAAACTTCTTCCCTTATTAACCTCAAAAGATAAATAAGAAGTGAATCTAGTAATGAATAATTGAAAAGAAGATATGGACACACAACCAATTCATAATATGCTTTCTGCACGAGATAACGACATCACAGAATCGATTAATTTTACATTAATAACTCTGTTGCAGATTCAGGAATTCATTAGAGCTGTTTTCTCTTTGTATTTTAGAGTATTGATTGTTCTGCTTTGCTTGTTGCTATTCTACAAATTCAGAAATAATTTGCAAGTTGCTTTGATGCTGATAGGAATAATAGTAAGTTTCTTAGAACATTTAAATTATGAATTGATTTCTCCAACTCATGATCATCATTTCGTGTGTGATGTGTTATTCACTCGGAAATAGAATAAATAGTTTTGATGAAACAATAAAAAGACATGGGTTATCTAAATCGTCTAATATTTTTGAAGGAAAATTGAACTAATTTGAGTAAGAATCCTCAGAGATTTAGATCACAGACAAGGCGTGGATAAGTGATGAAGGAATAAATGGAGGTTGAAGAGATTACTGAGTAAGATAAACCTAGGTTCTAAAAGTGAATTACGAAGAAAGGTGAGGAGTTTTAGGAAATGATCTTTAAACACGTAAAACATATTTAGGCCTTTTCACTGCTGAGGCTTCATTGAACCTGGGTTTAAAATTAAACCTATTTAACAGTTACGTTTGAAAACATTACAACGGACAAAAATATGACCTGTCTCTATGATGCGCTGACCAATAGAAAGATTAATTTGGAAATATATTTCCAGTACCAGGTGAGTTTATTTATTTTTACAGCCATTCGAAAATGTGTTCTGTTGACCTCACCAGTAGAGAAAGACGAGTCCCCCCGATATATGTGTGACTGTGAATGCATACATAAAGATAAATTAAGTGAGATGAGACTGGAAAACAGAAATTTTGTCACTCATTCTAACCGAGAAATAGAACAACAACCATACACATTGTTTACCTGTCATAAAGGTGAATATGAGGCTTTAGTGTGCATAAGCCCATTTTGACTGTGGTCATTCAATGACAGCCAGAGAGAATTAGAGCGAAGTATGGACACACTTTGTATTATATCAATGTTATGAAAAATATTAAAATACTTGTATTCACTTTTTTGTAATCTTTGCTTTATTTTGTCCACAGATTGTACTATGGTCTACCAATATCTTGTTCATATGTTGCGACTTTAAACAAGGCAACTGGTATATTCTCTTGGTCTTCATTATTCTGGAAGACTTGTTAACAATCATCTTCTGTATCTTTATCAAAAGACTGAAACTAGTAGTGATGATAATCACAATGATCTTGTCGGCAGTGTATGTGATAACCGGCGTAGTCCTACTTCTCACAGGGAAGGGTAGAGTAAGTGAATTGAAATGTCAAATGAATAGTTGCATTATAACATTTATTCCTGCAGTTACAAGAATTGTTTTATTATGAGTATTACTCACATTTAATTTGAACCACTTGCTTATCTCTGTTTTCTTGAGATTATCCATGCACACACCAACAGGAAAGAATAACACGAAGGAGGTTGATTGTCCAGTACTTCATTATTCGTAAAATATTCACATATCTGTGAAACGGTACCCCACTTATTTGATATGTAAATCTCTAATGGCGTGAAATAGTCCTACTGTGTAATGAAGAGAAATGTGTAGCTGAAATTTAGATGGAAAGGAGCATTACAGTAAGCACTTTTTTATTCACTGCATATTTGAAAGTGAATGGAGAGAAATAATTCTTGTAAATTTACATTTCGGAGTTGCGGTCGATTTGAAGACATTTGATTTTATCACTCATTCACTGAGATTTATTGATTTCATTTAATCTTTTTTACGCCTGATGAAAATTCTGAATACAATTCACTTGTTAACATTCCAGTACGTTTTGACTGTATTTGCCGGTGGCCTTTGGAACACTGCTCTGGCTCTGGTAAGTTCACACATTTTTTTCTATCTTTTATGAAAACGAACTCTTTAATGTCTCATTTGAGCGGAAAACTCATCTGAATACATAAAGAGTATATAAGAGAACAGAAATTTATGTTGACGAGGCTTCATAATGTAGGTAAATGTATTTTATCCCTTCAGAGAATCAATAAACTGACATCACTGTAATTGAAACTCTGTATATTCCTGTTATCATATTTTGAATTTCGTTTCTTTCAGGTGGCTCTGGTTTTCGCCAGCTGCCTCAAATAACTCAGAAATCACATGGTTCATTTGCATCGTCTCGCGCAATTTTTTGTGTAAAACACGCTTTGGTACAACAATATTCATTCAATTTTGTATAAATGAATGACAGTTCACATTTCAAATAAATTTTAAACAAATTTCTGATTGTGCATTATTACTTACACTCTTATTTGTGTAAAACAGTTTCTTCAATTTTCCTCAAGGCGGGAGTGCTGCAATGAGTCCTGGCTCTCTTGAACAATGTACGCATGCAGCTAATTTTGTGTGATGTTGGGTTGTTACTGTTGTAATTGAGTATTTGATCCGTGTGCGTTGGTTTTCTGTATACTTGGGTTTCTAATTTTAGATTTTCCCCGACGATTGATTGGACCGAAGTGATCGGTCTCAGTTTGACATGTCGTATTCTTGTGCAGACGCTTCGACTATATCTGGGCATGTAATTAGAATTTAATTGGTGGGAACATCATCACTCACATGAAATGCACGTACATCCAGTGACGAGTCCCAAATATGACGAAATGTAAATGCTGGAATCCACAGCTAGTCACCATCCACCAATTAAATTCCATTTATTCATTTTCTGTCATTCGCCCTTTCATTTATGTTAGTGGATCACCCTAGATACAGTTCTTCTCTGTTTACTAACTGATGCGCAGTGACTGTACATTCGATGGCATTTATCCGCAGATACTTCACAATATGAAGTTTGAATGACATATGTCATTACTGGTGAAACATACACTACCTTGATGATTGAACATAGAAAATAAATTGAGTTTGTTTCAAACACGTTTGTATTCAAGGATGCAGTAATTCCAGGCTTCATTCACAGAATATAGTCCCTGAGTTTACATCTTGACAAGGATGTCTTTAAAAGGTAGGCATATAACTTACACTGAAATAGATGCAATTCTTTACTAATAGCTTCTGACAGAGCAGTCATACGGAAAAATGGAATACTAATCTCATCTGTAGTCTGCAGACATTAGAGTGATTATTCGTTATTTCAACATTCCTATTCCATATAATCTGAGTTGACGTACACTCTTCGACTGAGTTCTTATTTTATTCAATACAGATATGGGTTTACATTTCCTCTTGCCATGATATGATCAGTTTCGTAACTTGCATAATCGGTTTGTTAATATCGGTTATTCAGATTACTTTCTCCGCCTTCACCTCAAAGGAATTATATTTTATATTTCATTCTCTCGACCAAAAATTACTGAAGCCATCAGTACTAGCAGTGATCCATTGGAGAACAGAGAAAAATCTTTGTACGAAAGTGTTTAGGTAGTGGAGTCGGAAGCCCTACAGTACACAGACGTATCCTGTAATAATATGTAATTTGAATAGTAAATTTTTGAATAAGATAACATCTAGAAGAGAGGAAAGCAGATACATCAGTAGGCAAAAATAACATCTATGAGCCTCAAGTTTTGTGTAGACTAAGACAAACAGTTGAGAAAGTGACATAAACAGAAATTTTCGACCGGCTGTAAAAATCACTATGATTCTCGATTACTGTGTAGTTACTACCATCGATCCGTTTAGGAGTAAATGCAATAAATTTACATAATCAGGCATCCCATATGGTCCAAATTTGACTGATGAAAGTGGTTCAGCAGCGTCCTTACACTATCTAGTCAGTGTAATGAAGCCGAAGTTCATTTCAAATAATATCACTTCAGTTTTACGAAGTATCAGTTAGTAAAGTTAGAGTCAACTGGTCAAGATTTATAAATTGTATGTTAGTTTCTTGAACACCACATTTGAGACGTCTGTCTATTGTTTCCACCAAACTATTCAGCTAACACTTCAATTAAAGGTATACCAATGGTCTGCTGATTTTGTTTGTACAATAATGAAAACAAAATGATAAAGACAGCTCACTAAGTTTTCCACATATTCGGTCGTTAAGAAGCTGCTTAGTGAGAATTCGTTAACAGCGGGGGACAGCAGGTCAGGTGGGGATAAATACTTACCACGAGTAAAACTGTCAAGTGGTTGTCCTATATCGTGAATCGGCAGAATTGAAAATTCATGGACTGGCCACTGGATCTAGTCCCAATGGCTCAGTGGTCTACGAGTTCGCCTTATTAACCGAAGGTTATGGGTAAGGACACTGGCGGTTGGTCACAAACTAGGACGAAAACGCCGTCCAGCACTTTAGGGATTTCCAGTGCTTCTCTAAGTGATGTCAGATCATGATGAAATCAAGTAGACAGGATCCGTCACTTATCTTTTGATATCTGACAACTATAAACATGATTATTTGTCAATACTAAAGTGTTTATTCACTTACATGTGTTGACACACGTTTTGTCTTACACAGAATACAGTTCAAATCAATCTCAAAAATTAAACTACGTTAACATGAGAAACATCTTTTTCGTATTCACCTCATCAGTAGAATTAGCCGAGTAAAATTTTGTCTATTGTTTGTTTTAAATGTGGGCTATTTTAATGCTGTGGATTTTGAAAATGTTGTGTTGTTGTTTTCGCTCTTTTCTGCTTTATTTACCGTCTCCTCCCTTTTTCATTTCGTTTTCAGCTTTCGTGAGTGAAGAAATACTGTGCTTATAAATCTTATGGAGAATTTTGTATTCCACAAATCACTCTTTCTTTTAGAAAGAACACGGTGATACATTCAATAATTTTATATCAGACAAAGGCTTTTTAACAGAGTACTGTGGTCTGTCTCAGCGCATTTAAAACTCTTTTATCATGTCCATATTTTGTATTATCAATAGAAATGTGTTAATCTGATAATTTATGATAGACTAGAGGTGACGCCTTATTTTTTGAGATATTATAGTGACAGACTTTATTTTGCAAAAGACAAGAAATGTGTCTGATGAGCTTTTTAGAAATTTCTTATCAGTTAAAACTTTATATGTCTGAAACTGTCCTGATTCAGCAGACATTTTACTGGTAACATTCAGAATAGAAACCCTGTTCTATTGTTTCAACGTAGAAAATGTGTTTATCATATTTAGCTGTCAATTGAATCTGATGTCCAATTTCTATTTTTCTTTTCTTATCAGTCATAAGAACATTCTTCACTCGATATAAATATTCATAAAAACAAGCCCTGCACACATTTATTCATTTGGATTATACAGTCATAAGAATGCTATTGAGTCTGCTGTTCATCTTATCCACATTAATGATTTGTACTGTAAATGCTTCAGGTAAGTTCTACTACTTTTACAATTTGCTTTTCATTGAATTCAGTTTAATTTAAATTCCCTTGTCGTGACCAAAGAAGTGATGGAGATTTGGGATATTACTTATTGCAAATATAAACAAAAACCTCTGATAGGATTGTTATTTTTATTCCTTTGTGTTCTGAGTGTATCAAATGGGTTTCGAAAGCACATTTCAACTTTGTCCTATTCTCTGCTGTCCTCTTTGGCTGGAAACGATTCCTCAAAATCCCTCATATCCTCCTCTCACGATTTCCTTCATTTAACACTCGGGTGCCCCACTCGTCGTTTCTCACTTAGTAATTGAGCTCATGTTTTGCAGGCGATGTCGTTCGTTGTCCTATTCAGCGTGTGTCCCATCCGTTTAGATTTTATTCCGGATATCTATTGAGCGATGAGTTAATGGTTTGTTCGCTTCCAGAGTTTCTCGATGATGATTCTTTCTCACTGGTCATTTGACCTTCAATTTAGAACCTGCAAAGTTAGCAGCTGTTGGTAAACGTCTTCAACACTCTGTTGGAAATGGTCTTCTTGAAGGTGGATTCAAGTTTTCCTGCGATATTGAAAAATTGACTCACTTAAAATTCTGGTTGAAAATTCAGATTTTGTTCTTCTTGCTGAGTAAAGAAGATTTCTCAACTGATTTCAGAGTGATGAAGGTCCCTCTTGCCCTTCCGATTGTAGTTTCAGCGTCGTTATTCTATCCGACTGCCTGTATTTTAAATGATACTTATAGATGAGTGAAGGTAATAGCATTCTGTAAATTTCTTCTTTTGATTTCAATTAGAAATTAATTTCTTTGATTATTTGGTTATCTTTATCAACTTCGTCTTCTCTACACTCACTTGGAATTCAGTCTTCGCTGCCTGTCTCTTCTGTCGGTCTGCTGTTTTTCACCTTTAAGTATTCGAGTTTGAGTTACACTAGAAATAAGTCGTCTGCGAGATCCAGATCTTCTGGAATTTTTTATCGGACCAATGTGTCACTGCCCTCTCTCTGTCAAGAGCCAGATGCATGATACAGTCCACCACAATTATGAATACCATAGGAATTAACAGGCAGTCTTGTCTTACTTCCGTCTTCACTCCAAATGCTTCGATGTAGATAAAGTGACACGCGGATTTGTCATAAGGCTGTTGAGTGAATTTGATAATAACCTGGTGCATTCTATAAAGTTGAAGCAGTTTACAAAATACTTTACCGTCAACGCCGTCGAAGGACTTTCATAGTCGATGATAATGCATAGAGTTTTAATCTGATCAGCACATGATTCGCCTTTCCTGAATCCAGTGCATCTTTTGATCCATCCAGGATGACACAAAAAAGTCAGTTATTTCAGAGGCGTCTGTCACCCTTCTTTGGAAGCTTGAGAAGGTAGCCACTCTTTGATCCAGTCAGTACGCACCTTTTCTTTCTTCCCTTCACATCTTTTGCAATAATGTCGTGTGCACATCTGCCGCAGTGTCTGGTTCCGTTTTCAGTGATTTGGGGCGAAAACCTGTCTGGCTATGCCACCTTCCCCTCCGGA